TTCTTCCTCTGCAGGCCAAAGCATCCTTTAAAAAGGCTATCTATTCAAATCATGCTCTGGAATGAGTTCATGGACACTAATTTTTTACCCCCTAGTATATAAAAGACCACTGGACCCAAAGTGCTCTTTACTGTAAGCAAATCTCACATCAGTCCTGTGCATTGAGGCTGTTCCTCTAAGTGCCAGAAGTAATTTCTGCCTACTTACTTGTTTAAATTGCAAGGATTTTTTTTTTTAATCACATAAACTGCTTCATGCTTAGCAGTAGCTGCAATAAAAACTCAAGGTACCATACTACTATTATTATTATCATTTTGTACAAATCTTATTGCTATTTTCTTTCGATGGTGCTGGCCATGATGCTGGCTTCAAAACACAAATCTTGTGGTCTTCATTTGTGGTTGTTTCTTCATATAATCCTGCCCTGATAACTCGTCCCTCACATTCCAAAGATCTGCTCTACATCCTTGCCTGCAAAATGAGTCTTTTATTTAGTCTCTTCTCTTCCAAAGAAACGAAAAGAAGTCATGCCACTGACGCTTTTGTAGATATACCAGGAATAAGATCATTCTTTTTGAGGAATGATACCATAGAGTATGCAAAATAAAGGCGACATTGCTCTGTAATCTTTACTTCCTACAACTCAAAACCTGTGGGATTGGTTACTTAGAAAATCGGAAGGTTCCCAATGGATTTGCATCAATAACTGTCATAAAAATATCAGATCTAAGGCATAGAGAGGAAAAACTTTACCTAGTTTGCCAGAAATACCCTGCGCTCCTCCAGCTACTACTGGGTTTTGTGTGGGCTGTCCTTTTTTCGGGCCTGTGTTGTGTCTTTGAGGAAAAGTGGCCTGGCCCAGAAGCACGCGTGGGGCCGCTCCGGGGCCGGATCAAGACCCTCGCGAACACCGTCTGCACCCAACCCTGCAGCTCTCGTTTCAGACACACCCCCCTCCACCCCGCGTTTCACAGGAGGTGTGGGCGCTCAACTCCTTCACTGTGGACAGGGGGACGCGAGGGGAGGCGGGCCGAGGCCTGAGCTCCCATTTTGGAGGGCCGGGAGCTCGGCCCTCTGGGACGTGCGATCCGGAGTGAGGGAGCGGAGGGCGCATCCGGGGAGGGGGCAGGAGGCCGGATGGGGGTCTATCGCATTCGAGGCCGTGAGGAGGAAGGCGGCGGGAAAGACTCAGCGGAGCGAGGGTCACCGGAGTGAGGATCCTTTTTTGTTATCGCGGCGTGACGGCGGCGTGACGGGGCAGCCCCCCTCAGGACATCCAGCAAGGGGTCGCCCTCCCCTCCCC